GGTCTAGGGCGTTTCCCTTTCATATATCCTGCCGTTCCCTGATCGGGAGGTCCCACCCCCCCCCTGCGTTTGGGCGGGGGAGGGGGGGGGGGGGGGGGCATTGCAGCGTCCAAGATGGCCCAAGATGGCTCCACGAGGGCATCCGAGGGCGCAAGACGGCCTCCAAGATGGCCCAATAGAGCGGTAGGCGGGCCAAGATAGCTTCCGACACGCGTCCAAGAGGCCTCAACGCGGCCCCGACGCGGTTGGAGTTGGAAGCGCCCTCCGAGGCTCCCAAGGACCCCCCCCCCAAGAATGTGGTTTGCTTTCTCGCGTTTTCGCCTCCGAAGGGCCCTCGGGGCCTCAAGATGGCCCCACGATGGCCCAAGGCAGCCCCAAGAGGGGCCAAAGAGATCACCAAGACGGCCCCAAGAGCGCCCAAGAGCGCCCCAAGAGCGGACCAAGAGGGTCCCAAGCATGCTTGCTGCCACTTGCGGATGTGACCCAAAGCGGGCCCAAATGGCGTCGGAAACCTGCCCTATGAAAGATGTCGTCGTCGTCGTCGTCGTCGTCGTCGTCGTCGTCGTCGTGTCGTCGTCGCAGTCGCCGTTGTCGTCGTCGTCGTCGCCGTCGTCGCGACAGAAAAACGCCACCGCGCCTTGTCAAGTGCCCCCCACAGGGATCTACAAGCACTTTTTCTCAGAAAAATGCTCCACCGGCCCCTTTGGCGCTTGGAGCGGGCCTACAGTATGCGATAGTGGCCCTCGGAGGCCCCCGCGATGCCGCAGCCATTGCGAGTCATCGAAATACCCCCTACCTCTCATCGAAGCACGATCGTAATTTGCACTGGTTTCGATTTTAAACTTCAATGCGGGGGGCTATGTGTGATGCTTGTGTTCTCGAAGACGGCTGCGCGACTGCATGCGTTCTGCCGCCCCTGATTCGCCAAATCCCTTGCTGATCGCTTCTGGATGGGCTGGCGGGGATGCGCGAAGCGTCAAGAATTAGCAATGCGTTCCGAAGCCTGCCAGGCGGCCCAGGAGGCCACCAATGCGCCCCAGGAAGGTTCAAATGGCCCAGAAACCATTAATATGGCCCATAATTGGCCCAGGAGGGCCCCAATATGCCCCGAGAAGGTTCCAATAGCCCAGAAGCCATCAAGAGGCCCCCAGGCGGCCCAAACGGGCCCCAGAACACCCTCGCACACCAAGAATGCAGCCCCTCCATATTTCTGTAGCCATGTTGGCCCAATTAAGTGCATATATGTCGCGAGCCGAGCACCAGTGATATGCTTGTCGCGTTCCCATGAAATGAAGCTCGGCGGCGGCAGGCAACGGCGAAAACGAAAGCTCGAGGAGGCAGAGCGAGTCGTTGATGAATTGCGCGGCGGTGCCCCCTCGTCATCATATCGGTGCAAGGCTGCCCGTTTAGATTCTGATATGGCAAAAAGGCTCGTTGAAAAATTGTCCTGGGGGTTTATGAGCGCCATCGAGGTTCAATACATGGCAGCTCAATCGTACAGTGACATGGTGGCCCTATGCAGAAGACTTGGTCAACCAGAACAGGTAGAGCACGCCGTGCCGTCTTCTATCCGACATCTTGCGCCATTCGGTCGCTGGGGCGAGTACCCAGGCAATATTGCAAAAGAATTTCGGACGTGGGTTGGCGAGCCTGCTGCCCCCCCCGCCCGTGTATTTCAAGCGCGGGCCAAGGTTCCCAAGCCTCGAGGGGCGCAGGCGACAATTCGGCTGTGCGGCGTTAAGATTCTAGATGCGCACATGACATTCTCGCACTTATTCAGGAATGACAGGGACTTGTTCAACGAAAGGTTTCTCGGGCCAGGCGGAACTTCAGACACATTACAAGCGTTCTGGAACGAGGTCGTTCGTCGGCGGGACCCAAGGATACAGAACCACCCCATGTGCAGAAGGCCTAACTGGGCCAAGCGGCGCGTGCCGCTGAGCATTCACGGCGGCGCCGAGCCAGTGGTTCGGGTCGGGAAGCCTTGTTCGGAGAGTTTGGAGTGCATATCGATCCAGTCGCTATTGGCTAGAGGACCGACACTGAAAATAAAGTTTCTGATGTGCTCGATGTTCGAAAACAGTAAAATTAGTGGCGCTCCCGGCGCCCAAGACACGACTAAGACAATGTGGAAACATAGATGTTGGACATTGAATGCGCTGTATGATGGTACGTTTCCATTCGCCGATTGTAACGATATCCCGTGGAGCCCTCTCTCCAGCGAGGCTGCCATTGCAGGGCAGCCACTTTGCTCGGAGGGCGAACAATTTTTTGTAGTTATCTGGTCCATCAAGGGAGATTTGGACTGGTATGCCAAAGGCTTGGGCCTGAAATCGTACAATAAAAACCGACCCATGCGAATTTTGTCCGTGCGATAGACGGTTGCCGACAGCGATGTGGCCCACAAATTTTTCAGCAACGGCAGCTTGGAAAGGCAGGCTGCTCACGGCAGCGGAATAGCGAGCTGGCAAAGTGTCCCTCCGTGGGTTGTTCAGGGTGTTCCCGTTTCTGCTGCAGCACAACTTGGATTGCGATGAACTGCGCATTCTGCACCTCGGGGTTCTGCAGTATTATTTCGGAAGTATTTGGTGGTTGCTGACGTACGATTGCCTTGCTGGTACGCCCGCAGACAATTTCGCACGGGTGTGGAGAATGATACTGGATGGGTACTCAGCTTGCCCAGGTGGTTCAAAATTCACCAAATTGACTATATCTTCTTTTGTCGATCCCAACAGTTATGACGAGTGTTATCCGAAGCTCAAAGGGAAGGGGTGCGAGGTGAAGTCTCTCATTGTGCCTCTTCGCATCATACGGGGGGAGCTTAAAAAGGTTGGCAAATATTGCGACCAGGTGTCCGCATCATTGGATGCAACTAGCAAAGTGCAGTTCGTCACCGACGATTACAAGGGTGATGCGTTCATTCCCGATGACGAAGCGGCCTCATGCATGACGGAGACGAACAAGTTCTGTCAAGTGTTCTGTTGGCTCACGAACGCCAGCGCAGCTCGTGATTATATGCTGTTCACCCCAGCCCCCAAGTTGCACTGGCTGTGGCACATGTCTTTCAGAGCAAAGCATTTGAGCATCCGCAGGGGTGCAACTTTTATAGATGAAGATTTTGTAAAACACATGAAGAAAATTGGCGGTAGGTCTGTGTCAGGGACAAAGATGCACATGGTACCAAATACTGCTGTCGAGAAGTATCGGTGGGGCATGACCCTCCAATGATTGGATATTCCTGGTATTCTGGCGCAGGAAACAAAACGTTGACATGTTATCGTGTCCTCCCCTTGCATCGTCCTCGGTGCGCCTGTCGCTCGCGCCCCCTTTGCCTGCGCCCCTGATCGAGGACGCCTGCGGCGCGAACCGCCGCCGCCCGCTGCCTTCTGGCAGCGCCTATGTGGTTTAAGGTTGGGCCAAGGCTCGGTCGAGCTAATGGCCATGTATGCCGCCAGGCGTCGTGGAAACCTTCTCGGGAAACATTCTTGGGATGACAATTGGGATGATCAGGGGAGAATGTGCGACGAGGAAGACAACGAGGAGGAGGAGGGAGGAAGCCTCGTGGGGCCTTCTTGGAGCCTCTTGCGGTGTCTCGGTAGCCCCCTTCAGACCATGTGAGACAATCTTGGAGCAATTTTGAGTCGTCATGGGGCCATAGAGGCCATCTAGCGCCATTTGGGCCGTTTTGGAAACAAGTTAAACCGTCTGTTGGGGGCAATCTTGGTCGTCTTGGAATCCATGTTGGGCAATATGAGCCGTCTTGGGGGCAATCTTGCACCGTCTGAGGCTCCTCTTGCAGGCATATAGGCCGTCTGGAGGCCAATTGGGTGCCTTAGGGGTAGTCTAAACCTGTCGGATACCCGCCGCTACGAGGGCGCCACGGTTGCGAGGAAATGACTCGCCGTCTTCCCGTCCCGTCGCGGGACTCCGCCGCCCCGCCGCCTCACAAACGCGAGGTTGCCACGGCCACAAGCAACCGAATCGTCTGTCGGCAGCCGCAGAAAACCAAGTTTCAGGTAAGTCCAGAACAACTGAGGTAAGTTCAGTCGAAGGTAGGCTCAGCCCTGCCAGCAACTGAGGAATCTGAGTACAAACTAAGTACAAACTAAGTACAACTTAAGGCGGACTTAGTTTGTACTTAGACTTAGTTTGTCCTTATCTTCCTTAATTTTTGGCAGGGCTGAACTTAACTTAGATTGAACTGACCTTAGTTTTTCTGGACTTAACTTAGACTTAGTTTTCTGTGGTTGCCGGATGCACAGGGTAGGAGGGAGGGCAGGTGAGGGCAGGGGAGAGAAGGGAGGGACCAGGGATCGACCCAAAAGAGTGGTTTCCGTTCTCGTGCTGCTTCCGTTTATCCATCGCTTTGTCTCCGACCCGCCTCTGCTGCAGAGCGATGGCGGCACAAAAAGGGCCCACGAAGTGGCCAAGACACCGTCCAGGTCGACCCATGCGAGGGACGCGGCGTCTCGGGTGGCGACGGCGGATCAGGCCCGAAGGCTTCGGACACTTAATTGTGTCTGTGTGTTTTTCCCCTCCTGAACACTGCTGCCCTGGCCCTGGCCCGGGCCGACTTTTCCTTCTCCCTCCTCCTTGCCCACGACCGTCCTCGCCCATCCCCCATTCACCACCCCGGGCACAACACGTGGAGGCAGATCGCACAGCGGTGATCGGCGACGACGAGAGGCAGAACGAAGAGGCAGCGTGGGGGAGGCAGAAGTGGCGACCGATCATGACGACAATCAGAGGTGGAACAGGCGAGCACGGCCACGCGGAAAACAGCGTGGGGGCCATCGGACTACCCCTCGCACCCCCCCCCCGATCCCGTGCCAGCCAGACCAGAAGAACTCGTGAGGACGACGACTATGACGACATGGAGCTGTCCACTTCTCGTTCTATGTCGCGTCATTCCTTGTGATCGCCGTTGAGGCAACACAGCGAAGAGGCTTGGGACAGGACGTGCAGCTCCGCCTGCGTGAGAACCCGCGCACGAGCTGATC